GACTTTCCTTAAATTTTACGTGACTGTAATTTCATTCAGCAAATTCGCTTGCTTCGCTTTCAAATTTTTCATTCAACTACTTTTACAAACGCCGCGCACGTCATGTGGTTTCCCACTTGTTGTTGGTTTTGTCACATCGACTTCCGGTCGTTTTGTAAAATTAAAATCCAAGAAAATTAAGCTATATTTCCAAGAATACAAAAGTACCGAATTTAATAAAACAATTATTCCATTCGCGCTTGTTGGATATGAGATTGGTCATACCATCTCATATCCAACGCGCGCTCATGGAATAATTGTTAAATATTTGGGGTCATTTTTAATAAAACAATTTTTCCACTCGCGCTTCTTGGATATGAGATGATCATAGCCAACTCAACGCTAGGCGCCTCGTTGGCTATCTATCATCCCTTATAATCCATCAAATACTTTCGTGCGCACGTGATTGGTCCAAAACATCACTTGACCGAATATTCCCCAGCTATTCAAAACTGCGCATATTGCGAAAAATGTTTGAAAGATGATAAGCACAATAGCCTGCATTTGGTGCAAAAATCTGCTCGGATATTTGTCCTTGGACATTATCTGTTCATCCAAGCTCACAGTTTTCCTCGAGCTACGCTCTTGGAAAACTGTTCGCTTCTCGAAACAGCTAATGTCCGCGGACAAATATCCGAGCATATTTCCGCGCCAAATGGAGGCTGTTGTTTATATATCCAACGTGCGCTCGTGGAATAATTGTTAAAGAAAGCCCTTCTTTTTTTGGTTATATATTGTCATAACTCAATTTAAGGACAATTTCTTCTTGAAATTGATTACTTCTTGCTTCTTCAAGCTTCTTCTTCGATATTGCTTCTTTTAAATCGTATCAGCCTTTCTTATCCCCATGTCCATGCATCATTTAACAAATTGACATCATTTTCTATTCATCTGTCCTTTAATTGATGCTAAATTGCGTCATAACATTGTCTAAGAGGCAGCAGAACCACAGCCACAGCCACTTTGACAATATTATGGCCAAATTTATCATCAATAAGAGGGCAGACGCATAAAAAAACTGACATCTATTTGTTTTTTACAATAACAAGACCCCAAAATAATCAAATAGCGGGAATAAATGAGGGGAAAAGACGCCGTAAACTTGCCGTAAACAAAGATAGTTAATTTTATTCAAAATGACGCCAACATTGTCAATAGCTTTTCTCGCCGTTTGATTGCTGCTTAAAAAAGTCCATAAAATCTCATTGGTTGAAACGTTGGCAGTTTGACAGCTAAAATTTGAACTTGAAAGCTTGCATAAAGTAAAATTTTATCCGTCTGTAGTCTTATTGATGATAAAAATGAGTTAATCAGCGCGTGAGAAATTAGACAGTTATTGTAAATCAATCAATCAATCAATCAATCAATCAATCAATCTAGAAATGACGCTCTTAAGAGTCTTGAGGTTACCTGTAGCTAGTGGACAGCATATTGCTTCGGTTATATTGTTGTTGAGTCACACTGCCTCGTGTCATACAACCGATGTGCTCAATTCTTTATATATCCATAACAACCGTATTTTTATTCAAATGCTTTTCCAGTATCGACTTTTATTGTCCCAATAGGCAAAATGTATATTTTACTGGTCACCAGTTGTTGTTGTTGTTTTAATTTTTTTTAAGACTTTTTTTTTCTTTCATTGATTAGTTTTGAGCCATTTTGATGGTTTGATCAAGTCTTCTAAAAGTGAAGCCACTAAAACTATCCAAACTATTTAATTCTGCTAATTTTAGTTGAAAAATTGTAAAGGTAATAAAATGCATGCTCTATACCTTTACTTACCTTTATTTGATTTCTATATTTTCCTTGCCAGCTTCCCGGAATATAGTAGGAATAACCATGTCNTGTTGTTGAGTCACACAGCCTCGTTTCCTACACCCAATGTGCTCAATTCTTTATATATCCATAACAACCGTTTTTTGATTCAAATGCTTTTCCAGTATCGACTTTTAGTGCCCCAATAGGTAAAATGTATATTTTACTGGTCACCAGTTGTTGTTGTTGTTTTAATTTTTTTTAAGACTTTTTTTTCTTTCATTGATTAGTTTTGAGCCATTTTGATGGTTTGGTCAAGTCTTCTAAAAGTGAAGCCACTAAAACTATCCAGACTGTTTAATTCTACTAATTTAAGTTGAAAAATCGTAAAGATAATAAAATGCATGCTCTATACCTTTCCTTACCTTTATTTGATTTCTATATGTTCCTTGCCAGCTTCCCGGAATATAGTAGGAATAACCATGTCTTTTGTTTGGGGAACGGTTTCCTTGTATGGTTTGACTGTGCGAACGTGAGTGCAAGGCAGAAAAAATCCGGAGTCTCCGACTATACCTTTCCTCATTTGGGTCCTTATAAAAGCTTTTAAATTTTGCCAGGATATGGAGCTCATTTGCAATGATTATCTCTGGATGAGAGTCCAAAATGGCGGCTATAAGACTGTGGCCACTTCTTCCAAGACCAACAAACAACACGAATGTTTCAACGCTATCGTACAAAGAATGATGCTCCAGCTTCTGTTTCCCTTGA